TTTCCAAACGATCCACGTTTGATGTAATAACATCGAATGCAGATGGTCTTTCCGTCGCCCTTGGCCGATGTCACCAACAACTGGCAGTCATCCGGGCAATCCTGGACGGTTCATAAAGAAAGAAGTGAACAACTGCAGAATTAATGGCAGAGACAGAAGGGAGAGTGGCAACAAGCCAGGATGGACGTAATAATGAGTGATCATTTTTGCTAGCAAACCTGTATTGATTGATTTTCAATACCACAAAAAATTGGATAATCAATTTCAATGTCATGGTGTCGGGTGTTAACGTTGTGCCAACAAAACCCGTACACATCATATGAGCGCAAATCAAATCAAATGATCAAACAACGTGGGCCCAGCCTCGTCTTGATCATCAAATTTTTGCTCACAAGCGCCGCACTCGCCATCCGGGATGGCTGCAAGGGCCTCAAAGCCATCATCCTGGGAAACACCGGTCTCCTCTGGCTCCGCCATATTGGAAGCTGCAAACCCACACGCACGACCAAACGGGCAACCAAGAAACCGAAAAAACTGTCTAGTCACAAGAGATGCAAGCAACTTTTGCAAAAATGCATGGACCGTCAGGGAAGCATCAGCAAGTTCAAGCCTGCACTCCTGCACTATTGGCAAAACCGACTGCTCAAACAAACAACGAGAGGTCAACCACGCAACAAGCTGAAGGTATCACGGTATCACCTAACAAACTAGCTGATTCCAATTCCTTTCGTGACATCAAGACATCCAAGCTCTTCCTTGCCACAAGAATTTTGATCAACCTGCGCTCTGGAAGCTGAGAGTCATGTCATGTTATTTTGAGCGCCCTTTGCTCAAAATTACTCACTGCGGCTGACTTGATCGATGTGGACGATCTCAAAACTGCCCCCATTACCATCGGCTCAGCCCTGCATTGGGCTGTACGGCAAAGTGTCTGGCACTGCACCATCGGGGCTTGCGAGCTGGGAGTCATGCACAGACACCCCTTTGGGATCTGGGGTCATCCAGCAATCCGGTGTGCGCGGCTGGGAGTCTAAGAACATCTCACCCTGGGAGTCTAAGAACGTCCCACCAGCTTCACGACATGGGCTTGTCACCACAAGCGTCTCCTCCTCTCCTTTGCCATCCCTAAACGGGCTTTTCACGACCAATGTCACTTCCTCGCCATATCCTTCACCCTCACCCACTGCCTGGGAATCTCCTGCGTCTGCTTCATCTGTGGCCTCGGGGTCTTTGGCCAAATTGAGGCAAAGTGAGTTGATGCTGTCGTGCAAGGAAGGGTGAACACGTGGCTGCAAAGCAACCAAGTTGGTCATCAAGTCCACCTGGGTCTGGGATCCAGATCGAGAAGCATAGGTGATTGTGCACTCCTCATGAAAGTGAATCACCTGATGATCCTCTGTGTGCCATGTCACCTGCAGATTGCCGCGCCGAAAAGGGCTTGAGCAAACATCACAAAGTTCGCCTGGGCGTGGCTGCACGATCCACTCCACAACGACCCCGGGCTCAATCTCTGTTGATGTCGGCGACTCGGAGGAATCAACCATAGACCAATCACCTGCAACAACTGG